GGCTCTAATGACCATGACGACTGTCGTTACCAAATCCAGGAACACTTACGAACCAGCGGTATTGATGATCCTAGCTAACGATCCCATGGGTTAAATAGCTGAGTTTCCCTAGCAGTCAGTCAGAACTGAAGAAGTCTCTTGGATGAGGGACGAAACATCTTCTAGTATCTTCTACCAAGTCCAGTTGCCCTTGACCTCAACCTTCGTTGGATTTCTTCTGAATATATAATTTATTTTTATTCATGACTGTGTTTCAACCCACTAGAGCTCATTCTGACATAACATTACTGTTATCACTGTTAATAACTAACAGAGTGACTTCAATATTACCCAGAGCCGGGTTCAATCCCCCACTGTGACCCATCCACCAATGTGTCCCTGAGCAAGACACTTAACCCCTAGTTGCTCCAGAGGCGTGCGACCTGTATAGCAATTGTAAGTCGCTAAGTGAAGCTAAGTTACCGATATCTAGGAAAAACTGAATACAGACCGTGGCTTTTGTGTTTTGCTTTGTTGCAGTTGTTTGTTTTGAACAAGCCAGTTATGTTTAACCTCTCGCAAATTGTGCTTTGAAGAGCCCTCATGGCTGTTTTAGTGTGGTGACTTTGATTAATTGTTAAATGGAAGAACAGTAATTGTTGCATTGTTGGCAATGAAAGTTGAGTTTCCAGTCTGGATTTGACCCTGCAGCAGGTACCTATCTCTTCACCCTTCACAAGAACACAGTACAGCACTGAAATACAAAAGTTATGTTTTTATGTTTAACATCAGAATGTGCTGTAATTAGCACAGAGAACATGGCCACTGTGTATTAATCAAATCAGCCAATATGTCTCTAGGGCTTTCTAGCACGTCCGTGCTGCTCCGGTCAAGGAAAAGCATTTAAAAGAGACAAGAATCAGGTCCGAAGAACAACACTAACAGAGTAACAAAATACTGTCTCTGAAAATCTCAGAAACTGCTGATGTAAAGAGGTGGGAGGTGGTTCTGTATCCAAAATTCAAAAATTATGCATTCTGTGTAACAACGCAAGAGAGATGAAGGTCAATGGTGGACTCCAACTGAAACTTTTGACAGTGTGAAGGAGATAGAAAGGGAATTAAGGGGAGCTGATAAAATGACCGAGAATGAAGATGAGGGTTTTTATGGTTGGCAGAGCACAGATTGTGTGCCAACTACAGTTGACCTGCAGCAGATAAGAGGAGGAAGGAGGAAGAGAAGGGTGGAATTACTTGTGAATTTACAATGTGAAAGGAGAAACAATACCAGAATGGTAAGGTTAAACCAACCCTGAGGCTTATTACACAGCTTAGGCCACTATTAACACAAAGTCACCAAAGCCATCTTTCACAGGACATCTATTAACTGCTCTGTGCTATACCAGATGTTAAAAAAAAAGATATTTTGTGTCATACAAGCACCGTTGCTTGAAGTCACGCATTACATTTTTACATGTGTGTATTTGTGCATTCCTAATGACACACATCTGGTAAAATGGCTTGTTTACATTGTTCAAAAGCAGGTCGATTGGTAGAAGTCTTACACACTAGGTAACCTCGCTTCAGTGCTCGTTAAACCAAGACCTTGTGGGCAATTCCGACAAGGCTCCACAGTAATTGATTATATTTAATGGGATGACGATAACCACAAGCAAATTATTATCTATCTGTAGATCTGTATCCATCCGTAAATACAGTTTAGACAAAAAGGGAGTCATTTTTTGATCTAATAAACCAACAAATGATGTGAATGAGTGAATCAGAGATTACACACATAAACACACACACAAATAAAGTAAAAGCAGAAAAATCTAATCATTATGACAATTTTGCCAATATAGAAATTAAAAATATATATAATACTCTATATTTATGTGTGTGTGTGTATATAATAAATATATATATATATTTATATATATATTTTTAAATAATATTCATTATTTTGTATTGCAGTGCTAAATACATTCAATATAGCTAAACTAAACCAATTTAGTTCAGTATGGTACTGAAATTACAACATTTTTGTATTACCATTAAACAGAGTATCCAATAACTGTTTTGCTGCTTCATGCAGAACATAGTAATTAAGTGAAATGATAGCTCTGTGCAGTGATGACTGATTTTTGTTCTGAATTCAGGTAAGCATAATGAGTGCTCCCAAAGCAGCACACATGTAATTGTAAAGTGTCTTGTGTAGTGTAATATTTACCAGATGCCAAAACAGCAAGCAGAGCTTAGGGATGATGTCTTTCAATTAGGATTTCGCCCCAGAGTCCAGTCAATTATCCACAGAGGTCTGCTGTGCTTTGCGTTCCATAAATTGGCCACGTTTCATAAACTAAAAAGGAAAAAAACTAAAAACAAAGCTGCTCTGCCTAACTTCAGTAACAAAAACATTTTAAAGTGAAACCAATTATTGGAAATAAAAGACTGAAAATATTAATTCGGAAATAATAAAATAATAAAATTGTAGGTCATATGATAAGCATCAAGCGCATTGATTCCGACACTTCCAAGGATTCACAAAATTTACATTGTTATACACCAACATAATAAGGGACTTGTGATGGTCTAATTGGACTTACAACTGAAAGAAGCTCTGTTGGACTTATGATAGAGGTTTATAAAGGTTTTTAAGTATGAAGAGGAGAACACCACTGACAAAGACAGGAGAAACAAACAAAAACACAGAGGGAAACAGAGCCATGATAACATGCAAACTAGGGAGAGAAAGAGAGAGGCTGAATCTCCATGTGGGGGGTGGGGGGGACTAAGATCAAGATCAACGACTGGATGAGGCACTGACAGCCAGGATAGAGAGGTCCCAGGGCGGCCGATTGTCCAGTACAGAGAAGCCGGAGTGCAACAGAGGAGAAGGAGGAGAAGGCTAGGGAGAGTGAGGGAAGGGGAGGTTAGAGGGTTTTGGCGGTGTTTGGTATCAGATTGGCAGCTTTTAGGGCACATATACAAAAAAAGCAAGTTTGCAGTCTGCTAATGTTGATTTCTGCTACCAGGTCAGCATTGATAGCCTACAGTTAATTTTCAGGCCAGTTACATGAAAAAAATAATAGCATAATCATCTGCTTATAGTGATCAATTTGACCCCGACAGAGCTGATCACAGTTAGAAGTATCCACTGTAATTGCAATCCTATTTATATCACTTGTCATTGTGAAATATATACTGTAAATATACTGGGACAGGAAGCTTTAGGAAACTAAAATGAAAGATATTTGTGGCTCCAGCTGAATTGAAAACAACTGTGAAGTCCATGGTAAATGGCTCTACTGGTAATTGCCTCTGTTATTACCAATTATATTGATATAGATTTAGCTTCACATGTGGGTTTCTGTTTGTATATGTATTTGCTCTATGCTCTTATGCTCAGTTTTTCTCCTTTTTGTATATGTGGCATCAGCCAGGTCTCCCATGTATTTGACCTCAAAGGCACTAACCTGATGAAATAAAATAAAGGTTTCATGTTCTTTATATCCTCTCCACATCTTTGCACCTTAGTGCAGCAATGTCACTCTTAGAGGTAAAGTCATGCCTAAGGACAGCTGAGTCTGTGTGTGATATTCCCTCAATGAATAAACAATCCAAGTCTCATTCTTTGTGCTCTACACCCTTATTAAGACTCTAAGATAAATGTCGGGCAGAAATTTAAATATGCTATTTTTGATTTAAAAAAATTTACATGGTCTCAGGCTCTCTCCTGGGCAAGTCATACACTGCAAATGAGAAAATGTGTTACCCTCTTGCAGCTTACATGTTTTGCAAAGAAAATAATGAATTGATTCAAAATTCAACCGAAGGCCTGGTGTGTACTTTAATTGGCTGTTCGGATTCAAAACAGAAATGCAGATGGGGTGACAATGTTGGTCTTGTTTGTGGTTAATTTATCAGAATTCAAGGATTAGTTTTATCATTGCATACAACTAGCTAGATTTATCACCATTTAATCACTTTTGATATTCAGAAGTTTTAACTATATAGAAAAACAGAGCAGCAATATGACATACATTCTGTCTATGAACTCCAGCATAATTGGATAATATGTTAGTGTGGGCTTTTTTTCCATGCATAGTTTTCCTCGTTCAAGATTATCTTTATATATTAGTTTCCATGAACATTTGAATTACCAAAACCCCAAACTGATTAGTAGCAGTTAGGCTATTATAGAAAGATCCATTAATATGAGCAACTGAATTTGCAAAATGGCAAAATGATTCCAATTAAAATTATAATACTGCTTCCTGAGTGGAGTGATAAGCAAAACATGGGTAATGGAGGTGTGCTAAGCATACATGGTTGAGTTTGAATGAAAAAAATAGATGAAATCATGAGAAAGAAGACTTTTAGGTATGTTTTGGTCATACTTTCTTATATTAACATTTTTAACAGTCTTACACATTATGGTGACAGCAGTACTTCCTGTTGCATTTTTTTGGACTTGTGCACTTCAGTGAATCATTTTTGATGAGAGGCATCCATCCCTAATGAGATTCCTGCTGTGACAAAAACCATCTCTTTTAACATCCAAGTCATATTTCCACTTCTGTGCTCAAGCTTAAGTAGGACAATGTGTAATCAGATCCCGTGCATCAGTACAGAAAATGTAATGTCTTTTATGTAGCCTGAAATTTAAGCTTGATGCTGTGATTTACCTAGCAGGACTACATAAAACCAAATGTGTTTTCTAAAGTGATAGATTATTACTTTTCTTCGATTTCTGTCCCTTTCATCCCCATTTCAGTTACTTCCAGTTGTTCACTAGAAGAACAGCATACTTGAAATGAAAATGTCAGTTGATGAAATCCAATGAAAGACATCTTAGTAAAATGAGTTCTTGTCTGCCACTGAGAGTATCACCTGGGAGACAAAGGAGCCCTGTTGGTAATGGTTTTAAATGTGGACATCAGTAATGCTGATGAAACATCAAGAAAATGACTCTACCTCTCACTGTTTCATGAATATCATGTCTATTTTTTCTCACCGTAGGACACTGAGATTATCAACACGGCCATTCTGACCGGACGCACTGTGGCCATTCCTGTCAAGATGGTCTCCATAGAGATGAATGGAGCAGTCACTGATGTCTCAGCCTTTGTGCAGTGCAAATCCTCCAATGAAGACATTGTTAAGGTACAGTAAACCCGATTTCCTCAGTCTCTGTATCTGTCAGAATGGTCTACATAGAGATGAATGGAGCAGTCACTGACATCCCAGCCTTTTGTGCAGTGAAAGTCATCCAATGAAGACATTGTTAAGGTACGGTAAACCAGATTTCCTTAATCTTTGTATCTGGGGGAAGATGTCAATTTAGAAAATGTAATCCCTTTACTCTTCCACTAATAGTAGGGAGTGGCCCACCACCACAGTCACATCAGGAAAGCATAAAAACTTCATTTTGGGCTGCTCCATATGTACTTGTTATTTGATTCTTGCCTGATGCTTTAGATAAAGTCAACTGATGTTCATAAAACTCAGCTGTAAATGCTCCATTATATGCTTTTTGAAGCACCACACCTACTGCTTTTCAAAGAAACCCCTTGTTCAGATACATTTGCTCATCTCTTGTTGTTCACCTAAGTGTGATAGCTGCAGGCAGAGATATAATACCAGCGTCCCGGGATGCAAGGAACAATCACTGCTCAAGCTCACAGGGAATGCAAGCTGAGAGTACAATATCAAGTCTCATTTGTTGATTAAATAAATTAAAGTGGGATCTCACAACTTGCAGAGCACATTAGAGGCTGTGATTACACCCTTATTATTTTCTCCAGTCAATTATGATCATAATAGATTGCAGTATAGGCAGATTGCATAATTGTATAGGCAGTACAGTGAAGTGTTGTCGTGCTGTTTTGCACTGTTGTTCATATTGAAAGTGATGGTGTAGTGGGAGATGTGACCATAGATGAAGTAAACAGCCTATGCCATGTCATTAAATTCAAATATACAAAAGTACAGACAGTACAGACTACCTCTTTCCTCCCCTCAGGTTTCCTCTTTCCCTTTTGATAAATTGGGTTTCAAGAAAATGAAGGGATCAAATAAAAAGAGAAGAGGTGTAATGAAAGGTTTACAGAATGTATGTGTGGACAAAACGTCTGCATAAACTGGCAAGTTAGCACTAAACAAAGTACCCAAAAAACACCATTTTGAGTCCACATCTCAAAGAATAACTTGCTACTGTGCAGGTGCTCCAGTCCCATGTTATGAGCGACATGGGCTTCATGATGATATGTGACCAAACCCAAACTGATTGCATTTAATTTCATGTGCACATGGATAGTTTTTAGAAACTACAGTTAGATTCTTAAATTTCAAAAAACAGTTACTGTAAGTTTTAGTTTGAGGTCATGTACGTCATGTTCAACTGTTCATACGAAGTTATTTCCTCAACATTCACTTGGTATTGGACACAAGCTTTTGTTGCACAAAGGCTGACAACCGCAGCATGATGACAGATGTTGATTGTGCATTGTATCTGCTGCTGTATACCCCGTTGTCCAAGCATGTATTTTGTGAACAAATAAATTCTACCAGTGGCAAGATGTTCCAAAGTGTAAGCCATCTCACCCTACAGGATGTTTTAACCTACCGCCCTGGATAGAGATGGATTTAACCAGGGAATCTGGCAGGGAATGATGGCAGTATTTTTCTTAAACCAGTTTATATTTTATCTCCTTTCTCCAACTCTGTCTCCCTCTCATGTAAAGGTTGCACGGCTATTGAAAAACTGAGTACTGTAACAGCTACAGGTGAATACACTTCACTCAGTGGGGAACAGCCATCAGAGAGAGGGAGGCCAGACGTGACTCGCAGTATGATCAACTTTGACTTGTCAGGCTTGTGAATTGTCTCCCAGTAACAGAAATCTTTGAATTGGACCACATTAATTTCTTATATTTGAAGAATACTGAATCCAGTCTGTGCCCGAAAAGCCTTTTGTTCACTGAATAGTAAAACTATCATCTCAGGTCAGACTAATGAAATTCTCCTTCTCAAGGTCAGGTGAGGCAGGTTTGATTGTCGATTTTACAGACTGGGGCCATGAAGCCATAAAGCTGAATCAGATACTGACTTCAATCATATTCATTGTAACTGGCCAGTATCTGTTCTTATTAAAGGGCCAGTATCTGTCCAATATATTTTCACTCTGATATACTGGACTAATGCTAATGTTCGCTGCCTCACATGGTTAACGTGTATACAAATTGGACTGAAGAAATAGATTCTGATGCCTGTGGGAGAGCAAATTAAAGTATGACTTAATCTCATAGCAAAGTTCAGATCAATGAGTTTCCTGTATAGATTTGTTTCTTTAAGGTGGGAGGGGTTCCATTTGTGGTGTATTGTATTGTACTCTCAATAGAAAACAACAGGTGTTGCGTTGGGATGGCCGGCCTCAGCAAGTCCGTTTATCATTTTTCAGTATCCATTAAAGACAAAGCGCTGGGCCATGGGATATCGAGTGGGCTTACTCCAGTGCCCCTGCCACTGAACATTCAAGGCTAATTTAAATTGAGCCCTTCAGGCCCAGGAAATACAAGAGTCATGACAGTTCAATAAAATGTCCCCATGAATACAGAAATAAATGATTCACAGTGATCCCCACAAATATAGAAAACTCCATTACTTTGTTGTTGTTGTTTTTTTATACCACACACATTACTGTCATGCCAAAAGTCACGTCGATCTATTCTAATCAGATTGACTTGTTTTAGTTGCGGCATGCTGGTTGCTTGTTGTTTTTTTCTTATTCTGAGCACTACAGATGAGTGGTGCAAAATGCATATACTACAAAGCTTTCCAGTACCTTGTCACATCTCCTGCTAGCCTCGTGACTTGAGACTGCAACTCAAACAGCATTTAAACTAAAATTATTTTCAAGACTTCCTCCCTGAATAAAGCTTTATTTTCAGCCCAGCATCCTTCTCATTTGGATGTTTGCCAACCCACAGGCGGTTGTATTATTTCTTCCAACGTTGAGAGTAAAAATAGGTGAGAGGCTGTCATTTTTCTTTACTGGGACTTTTATTTATTTCTTTAGTTCTTACTTCTTCGGAAATAACTAAGCTGCAGTGCGCATAAAGAGCCTATAGCAGATAAGCCAATCATGTGTGGGCACAGTTGTGTGTGTGTGTGTGTGTGTGTGTGTGTGTGCGCGAGCGTGAGCGCATGAAAAATTACTAAGGCAACCTAGTTGTACAAGGTGGGAAAGGATAGAAAAAAGAATGTGTAGCATGTCGGAGGGTAGGGGCGACATGCCGGCCATCATAAGCAATTGAAACCAACCTCTATGCCCCTGCTGATCATTCTCTCCCCTGGCATTGTGAGTCATATAACCCATCTGAAGGATTTGTGATAAGGCCTTGTGTCTGCACACCACATTTCATGCCTGTGGTCATCCTGCACACATATGGCTGAAGGCTCCTTCCTCACTGCCTCACTTGCATATTAGTGCGACACATATACGTTTAGCACAGCTCAAAATTTTGCATCGAAAAGACAAGAAATTAGCTAATAACACAAGTGACAGCTCTGTGCTTAAACATCCTTGCAGCTTAGGATGGAAGTGGTTTTAATGATTGCTTTAAGTTGCAGCAATAGCTGTGCATGTGAATATGCTCAGATTTGATATGATTCCTTTGATTCCTTGTAGTAAATATGTACAACCCTAATTCTAAAGGGTCAGCTTACCATAACATACTAACATACTTTCTCACTTACCTGGTGGTTTCTAGCCAGTCAGATACATAATATTGTCAAACCTATGTGGACACACTTTAGTCCACATTTTAGTTTAGGGCTGTTTTTTGTGGCTTAGTTCCCAAGGATCATTTTTAATAGTTTACTTGTACTTCCAACTTTGTGGCAACATTTCAGAGAGGCCCTTTCCTGTTTCAACATGACAATGTCCCTTTGTGCAAAGCCAGGTCCATGAAGAAATTGTTTTCTCAGTTTATTGTGGAAAGACCTGACTGTCCTGCACAGAGCCCTGACCCCATTCATAGCCTTTCGGATAAACTGGAACGCAGACTGAAAGCCAGGCCTCATCGCCCAACGTCAGAGGCCAACCTCACTAATGCTCTTGTGGTTGGACTGGGACAAATCACTATAACGAGGTTCCAAAATCTGGTGGAATGCATTCCCACAAGATGTTCAACGATCTATCATAGTTTAAGTCAATCTTTTATTTGCTGAGGTTTTGAGATATCTGTCTTTGACAGTTCTAACTCCACCCTACAATGGAACAAATTCCATTCACCTAAATTATATCTGCCTGAATGACTAGATACCAGTAGAGGTATATTTTAAATAAATCATTTCATTTTAACAGGCTCCAAAGTCCCAGCTTTCCAGAACAACAGATCATTTTCACAGTCAGCATCATTAATCCTATCAACAACAGGATAATGGGGGCTGGCTCATTTAGCTAACAGAGCTAAATGAACTCATTGGTTGCACTGCTTTTGAAGCCAGCACACATCCTTCACAAAGAAAAGCTTCACAACAACTCCAAGACGCAATACGGGAATACTAACCATATGTCAGCTTTCATTCATTGTTCATTTAATACATATGTTATCTATAATTGGAAACTCCATTTGGCAGAATGTATTGGCAATTAATTTAGTGAATCATATTTATAATATTTAAATTTGAAAATAAAAGAATTTGGAAACACATGCGTGCAGCGTGAATATGTGAGTTTCATGAAGATGGCTCAATATTTCTTCTGCACCAATTTATGTTTCTGTTATGTGTGTCTTTGACATTGAAACGTGGGTGAGAAAATCACTTGTCTCCCTGTAGTGTATTTGAAATCCGTGTATGAGCAACACTTTTATGAAAAGCAGTTTTAAGCAGCCCAACTGAGTGTTCATTTCTGACCACCTCTAGGATAATTGCAACTCCAACATGGAAAATATTTTCAGTCCTTTGTCTGCATCTGGGTTTGTGTATTTTTGTCTTTTGACCATTTTTGTACTTTTTGGTGACCAGGTGGCTTGGATAACTGCGACACATACCATGTAACCCTGGCAACTGGGGTTCCAGTCCAATATGTTGCGTGCCATCCCCTTTCACTCTTGACCTTTCCTGCTGTCAAAAAAAGTTAAATGCCCAGCATACTTTCTATGGTTAAATATATGCAGTATACTGTTCTGTCAGAGCTTCAGCAATTGTCTTTCCACACTCTGTGGCCACCAACAGTATACAACCCTCCACTAAAGCCAAAGAAAACATCAAAATGGAACATGCCACTATTGTTATTGTAATTACACATCCTTGCTCCCATCATTGATTCCTTGTTGTTTTTCTGTTCTTTTTTACATTTACATTTATTCATTTAGCAGACGCTTTTATCCAAACCGACTTACAATTGCTCAATATCAGAGGTCACACGCCTCTGGAGCAACTAGGCATTAAGTCTATCTCAGGGACACATTGGTGGATGTGTCCCAGTGGGGAATTGAACCCAGATCTCCCACACCAAAGGCATGTGTTTTATCTACTGTTCCATCACCACCCCAGACATATTCAGTCATGTTACTGATTTTTTTAATGAAATTATGAATTGCCTCCTAAAGTCTGAGAAAGTCTTAACTGCTGAATGTGTGAATAAGCAACTGTTTGCCAAGAAGTTTGCCATATCAATGTAAGAGGTGGTAATGTGTCAGTCACAACTTGCTTCCACTGAGCAAGAGTCCAAAAAAATAATTGCAGGTTTACCACAAAGTCTGTGCCACAAACTGGGGGTAGGTAGTATTTATGCAGGACGGGTCAAACAAAATATGGTACTTTTTTTCATTCATCTGTCTCTTGTAAGTCCCCTAACTTTGTGAAAGTTCAATACCAAATTGCTGAAGTACCCCATGTGTAAATAATGAGCCGATGATGTAATGGCAATAAATCTGTTTAGCAGTCTGACTGTTCAAGATGGAATAAAATTATGGCACAAGTTCCACCATGGATTATGTGAACAAATGTGTTTAACTGCAATCGGCGCAGAATGTGGATGAACAGACAATTTGCAGTGTTAGTGGTGCTGTGTAAATGATCACATCATACTAAAATGGCAATAAAGCATTGCTTGCTTGAAGGACAGAACTGCTGCCTTTACTGGAACCGTTTGGGAAATTAATTCAGTTAATGTTATGGAATAAATGTGTGAAAGGTCCTTAGGTGTCTTCACCTTCATTAACCTAGCCAGTCGTTCACTCTGCATCATGTGACCAGTACACGACCAAATGCAGGCAGCACTTGCACTTGTCCTGATGATTTGTCTCCACCCAGGCAATCTGCTGGCACCATGAAAGATGCCACAGCGCATTAGCAGCAGTGTGACGGCATGTGGCTGCTCAGTGTGTGAAAGCCCTCCTCAGCAAGCCCCCATAGGGCCACTGATACCCACAGTTGCTAACAGCTTTTGACTTGCAATTAGCCGGCCAAGTTTATCAGCAGCAATAGCCGCAGGAGCTGAAGCGGCACTGCAGCTAACACTCGTTTTCTGTGTGTGCGTGCATATGTGTGTGCACATGAGTGTGGCTTTAGGGTAAGGGAGTACATGTCAAGCAGATGTTCTCCACTCACTCTCTTATACAACAAGCCATGCTGTGATTAATCAAGGTGGCCGGGGTCATTGTGTTGAGTTACTTCTTTTTCTCTCTTTTGTAACTCGGTTCATACTGATAAGACTGTACACAAGCAGACAGAACAATAACACACAAAAGCTGAATACAGTGGAAGCCCATAAGGTCAAACCCTGCAAAATTGCATTAACTGAACCAGAGGGAAAGACTGTCATCTTAAGAAGTCCTTCCACCACCCACCTCCCCCCCCCCCAACTCTGGCCTGTCTGCATGGAGGGGGAATTATATTACCCAGACCTCCTCCCAGTTATGATGAATCCGCAGCCCTGAGAAGACTGGCCAGCCCGACCTCCATTTGCGGGAGATTAGATCCTCTGATTACAATGCCAGCTACCTCCCACTACTAGATAAATCTTCGATGGGAGCCCAAAAGCAAAGCCCTCCAGATCCATTGCAGTTAATAATTTAGTGTTAGAGGGGGACAAGTATTTATGATAATTCCAATGGAGCTGGAGCTTTTTGACTAGATGGGAAAGCTAAAGAATGGTTTTAAGTTAAAAATGGCATTTGCTAAGACTTAAATTTAGAAAATTCAATATATTGAATTCCTACTCAGTGTCATTGCTGTGACACAAATTATATCACATTACATGAATGTCTAGTGAAAGGTGAAATCTGTGAATATGTTTATTAATGTTCCACCGAGGTGTTAGGAACTAAAGTTCATGTTAAATGTCACACTGCTGTCAGCCTTCATATTATATGAATTATATGTTTGCCTAAAAGCTTTTGTTGGCATATTATGTGTGTGTATAATTGTTCATAGATCATTATGCTGAGAATAGGCACGAGAGGTGGTGGGGTTAGGACGTGGTTTGTATGCCTAATTGGCACTGTACATGCTTAACAAACTCTGGGTTACTTAGAAGCACTAATTTGACTGTATAAAAGATGCAAATTAGTTAGAGAACAGCCCACAGCCAGTAAGCATTGTTTACAGCAGTTGTTCTCAGCACTGTGCCATCAAGGCCGGAAAGTCTGCGTGTTTTCATTCTGACCAAACACAGCAGCAGCTGATTTTCACTGATTCGTTATGCGTCTCTGGTTAAGGCAGCGGAAATCAGCTGCTGTAGTATTTAGATGGAATGAAAACCTGCAGAAACACTGGTCTACAGTGTGCTAAATATTAACATACTGTCTCACTTTAAGAGTTGTTTCACCCAAATCACAAACAGAATGCGAAGCATTTTCTCACTTACATACCTTGTTATGTAGATAGTTTCAGTTTTAAGTGTGTATCAGAAACATCAGTGTTAACAGTTTTGATTGAGACTATTTACTAGAAAGTAGTTACTGGATTAACCTGAGTAACCAAGATATTGCTTTTGGAAGTTGCTATTCAGTTTTTCAAATTTCAGAATTTCAGACAAAATTAAAGTATTGGCAGTGATGGTATATGTGCCATGAACTTTCATATCACATTCACATACCTATGAAATCCTTGTTATATATTTGCTCTGCTGAAAGTAGTAACCTTGAAATTCTCTGTGATGAAATGTGGCGCTGACAGCTGCAGCTATACTGTGCCTTATATCATCACATGTCACTTCTCTCTGCCACCTACGTGACCATTATCATATAGATGGTCTGACTTCTGACCCTGATCTGTCCTAGGTGTCCATGAATTGCGACTACGTGTTTGTCAATGGGAAAGAGATGCGGGGCTCCATGAATGCAAGGGTTATCTTCAGCTACGAGCACCTCAGCGCACCGCTGGAGCTGACCGTCTGGGTGCCCAAACTTCCCCTGCAGGTGGAACTTTCTGACAACAATCTGAGCTTCATTAAAGGCTGGAGGGTTCCCATTCTTCCCGACCGAAGGTAAGGCTCAAATGCAAACAGAGACAGGTGCATATGCGGCTCAGGAGGTAGGCTGTTCCACCAGTGTATGAATGTATGTAGTATAAAAGCGCTTTGAGTGGTCACATAGACTAGAAAGGCGAAATACAAACACAGAGCATTTACATTATAAACAAAATTACAGTTTCATGTTGCTAACTCTTATTTTTATAGCGCTGGCCATTATTCCCACCTGTGATAACGGCATTCTACTCACCAAGTTAACTGCTGAGATTTGGAAACATCAATAAAGAAGTCGGAGCGGGCAAAAAACATGAGAAGTCAGATGATCAGACAGGTTGTAAACAAACCCCCAGATTGACCAAAGTTATTTAGAATAAAAAACAGTGGTGAACTTTAAAATAATTACTGTCTATTCATCACAGTTAACAGACTGACATGCTGCTTCAATTTTGACCTACCATAATAACCATAGTAATCTTGACCTACTGTAATAACCATAGTTATTACGCACACAGTTTCCCTGTGCAGTAAGGCGTTATAGTGCTCACTTTCTGTTTTTGCTTGACATTAAGTGGTTTAGATAATCTGACCTAACTATTGCCTTGTCTACAATGTGTTTGATTATTTGACTCCACATGTTTTTTGCCATGTCGGATCTGTGTTTCCAGAACCGATAAAAAATATTGTTGTGTGTCACAGGTAGTAGAGGTAACAGCACATTCTTTGACCAATAAATAGGACAAATAACCACCACGTGACCTTGATATATGAATTACAAAAAAGGTAAACGGACTGTACTTCTATAGTGTCTTTCTAGTCTTCCGATCACATTAACCCCATTAACACACATTCATGAACTGAAAGCAGAGACTGCCATGGAAGGTGCCAACTGTTCATCAGAAACAGAAATTAATCATTCACACACCAATGGTATGGCCATTGGGAGGAATTTGGGGTTCAGTATCTTGCCCAAGGACACTTCAACCTGCAGAACGAGGAGAAGCTGGGGATCGAACTGCCGATTTTATGATCAGTTGGTGACAGAAATGTTCCTTTAATGTGAAGTCTGACCTTCATGGAAGCACTGTACGTTTTGTGTTTTTAAGGGAGCATTCTGAACTCTCCTCTATTTCCTTTTCTTATCTACACCCTGTGGTAAAAGCAACAGAGCCAGAATGCAGTAGGCGCAGTAGAAATTTGGGATGTCTTATTTTTGTACCATTACCAGAGGACTCATTATCCATAGAGCATGGAACCCCGCAGTCTTAAACATTAGAAACTAAATACCAGTCCAGACTTCTCTCTGTTATTTAGGATTTTCTGTGTAGTTGCTTCTTCTGTTTTTTCCAGTTAGATGCTCTGTCATAGTTACATGGCAGAAATGCGCCCTGCAAAATGAGGCTCTCAAGTACAAGTTGATCTATGAGGCTGTCATGTATGTGTCATACCCATCTGAACCCATTTTATACAACAAGTCCGAGACGCAGAGTTAATTTGACTTTGAGTACGCAGTAAGCTTTTCAGAATGTGTTGTTTCTTCTTTCAGATAGATAATGATGTTTTTGGACTAACAAGCAGGTAATTTGAGGTGTTACTCTGCACTCAAAACAGTTGTAGCTGCACTTCCAAGACTGAGCACTAGTTTGACCAACTCTCCTTTTTGTGTGTATTGCACCAAATATACATAGAATTATTGGTTAACAAGACGGTTCACATTTTGCCGAATAAAATTAAAAAAATAATGTCATAATGTTAAGATTCAATCATTTACATGCATGACCAAATACATTAGGTAATTATTGTTAGTATCCCTGACTTCCTCTAACCCAGCAGAGTACATTTAAACACTGTTTAAACTTAAACTTTAAACCAGATAAGAGGAAAACCGTTTCTGAGATGTTACAACAGGACCTGTCATTCCCTCCACAATACTGTGTTAAATGTCAGTTTCCAAAACTAAACTTAAACTAAAACTTTAACTTCCATAACGTTACAGATTAGCCATTTAGTTATTGTTAAATACAGCTTATTTAAAACCCTTCACAGCTCCCATACAACATCTGGAAAATAGCTAACAAAGCTTTACATACAGAGTACACAGCACTGACACATATTGAGTGTCCCAATAGTTGCCAGTAATCACAGTTCCCAAAATGATCAACCTCTGATTTCATGTGCTTTCATGGAGTTTTATAGTTTTATAAAACATTACAGAAATAAAGTCATTTTAATTCTGTGTAACTTGAAAAAACATGAATAAAAGTATGATTTATTTGAGTGTAGCTACATTTACATACATCTATGTAGTATGAAATGTACCTTTGATGTCCTTTTGCAGTGAATGGACTGTTTGAGTTCACTACATGGTCATTGAATATACACCTTTTTTAAACATTTTATGGTTCCCTAGACTTATTTGTCTGTTCTGTTTATATCTTTGTCAGGAATCGAGGCCAATTGTGTGGTCTTAATATCAGTATTCTACAGTTGAAGGTTTTGTCAATCTCAGTAATCCTGCAGGCAATAAAAAACTGAATGAGCTGTTGCCTACAAGCATTTAAAATATAATACCTTTAGATGTGGAAAAATGGCACCAGTGGGAGATTAAGGTTGTTTGAGCCAGGACCCTAATGAAAAATGTGATCTTAGGTTAAGGAGCCTGAGCTCATTAAAATATTCCCGCATTCTTGGCATGCATGGAGCAGTAACAAACAGGCCCACAATCCTTCATTTAGGAAATATTAAATGGCAGTATTACCGCTGATGCGGGTGGCTGCTGCTGTCGTTGCTGGAGTACATCACTGTAGACCAAATCCATTTCTACCCAACCTGAATACAAATGGCGTGTTTAAGTAGATGTTCGAAGAATCAAGGTATTTCAAATGACCTAAAGTGCTTGAAAAACATCTTGCATAGCCTCATTTTTCAAAGATCCCCAATGGGCTATAATGGGCTATAGATTGTATATTATTTTGACATGTAAAATGTGTCTTAAATCCCCACTTTAGCACTATTCATTCATGTTATTCATTCATTGTAAAAGGCCCAGCCTATGAAGGTAGAACCCTGCAGATAAGGAATCATATATGTGCATATCAGATTTGTGATATGTTCAGACCTCACTATTTTGAATGATGTTTGCCGTTTGTCCAGTGTTTACCAGACCCCAAGGTTTGCCGGAGGTTTCATATGTTATAACTCTCATATAACGATATTACATTTGTTATTCAACATTCCCCAGATGTCAATAGGTGGACTAGTTGGTTCAAGCCAAATTGGTGTGATTTTAAAGTTTGTTTTTCTAAAGTATGTATCTATAAAATTCCTCCAACCCATTTTCTATGCACATTACTTCCCTTGTGCCTTCACGAAAACAGTAATCAGTAATCTATTGAAGTTGATATGATTGCCACACAGCCAGGCCAGAGGAATTCATTTCACTGCAGGTTACTGCATTTCTTTCTTGCACGCTGTCATTTGGATTTACCGCGACTATGTAATTTTCTTTTCCTTGTAGTTCTCCACATCCGACAACTGCAGACAAAGACAGCTCCCATCATTCTCAATGGTGCCACATGCAGGCTATTGAAGCTGCTGGTACTGACTAGACTGGCCTTCCCGCAGGAGTCTTTGTATTTTCAGTGGTGGTGTTGGACACATTGTTTGATGTATGCAATATAGCATCTTTAGTTTTTCTGTTCCCTGATCCATTACTGTAGCAGTATCACAGCAGGCGGGCATTCACATGGCGCCATTTGAATGTGAAATATCTTGTGTTTTTGCATCAAAATGTAATTACTGCTTTATATTTAGGCTTTACTGTAATAACTACTACCCAGAGTTGTGGGCTCTAGTCATTTTACATGTAAACATTTTAGTTCAAAGGAAATAAATTAATTCCTGCTTATGTTTGCACCTCTAGATTGATTGATTCAGTGTTTTTTGTTTTGTTATGGAAACAGCCAACATCTCATTTCAGAGCAATTTTACTTGTTGTCAACGTAAGAACGTCCATGAATCACCATGGATTAAGTCTGGAAATGTAATAAACCCCTCACTAAGGGGCACATTCATCACATGAAGTAGATTCACATACAGGCATATGTGGTTTTCAGATATTTTGCATATTAAATGTAAGACATCACATGTGAAAACATCAATTTCATATGCTGATTTAAAAAAAAAATCCCTATCAAGGTTTCAACTGTATCTCACAGTCCTCATCAGTATATTGAGTTTGCTTGGCTGCCATGGAAATGTAGGTGTTTCCATGAGGAATATCCACACAGGTATTAATTGGATATTTCACCTGATTTTATTAGGAACAATATATCAAATGTAAAGTTAAACTAGCCATTAAAGATGCTGAGCATGCAATTACAACCCCAGTTTGAAGCTGGCCGATCCCCCATATCTGTCCTTGCACTTCCTATCAGCCCTCTACTGCCTCCCATTTAGAAAAGGTAAATAAAAAATTAAAATATTGACATTTCTCACGTGAAATATATTTCATATGCAAGATGCAAACATTTCACCCAATGAATAATGTTAAAGAGGTGGTATTATACTTTTTGGCATTTTCCCTCTCCTTTATTGAGTTATATATCATATTTTTTGCATGTAATAGGTTTGCAAAGTGAAAAAGCCCAAAGGGAGTTCCCATCTCCCACAGAAAACTCTGCTCTGAACTGCTTGAAAACAGCTCGTTTGTAGTCCAGCCCTTCACTTCCTTTACTTGTGACGTCACAATGAAAACGCGTCATAAAGCTTGCCAAGTGGCTAGCTGGGGGTCAGGCACGCCCTCAAACCAAGCTAGTCTGAGCGGAGGCCCTTTTGGCTTGACTCGCCTTTGTTTGGTTTTCCATTGTAGAAATGTTGTACCTGTACCTGCTTCCAGGTACTTTTTTTCGTATCACTTCACCTCCTCGAGGTTCCAAGCGCGCTGAGGGAAACTAAAATGTGACGTGAAAACACGACAGACTGCTGATTGGTCAGAGAGAATATTCACTATTCACTGC